GTTGTTTGGCGGGTCCGGGCTGGGGATTCGAACCTGCCACCTTAGGTGTACGTGGCTGGCGCCTTAGCCGGTTGAGCTATAGGCGCCGAGCCCAAAGACATCTTAAGACAGTGGTTCTCAACCTTCCTAATGCCGTGACCCTTTAATATAGTTTCTGTGGGTCGTGACCCACAGGTTGAGAACCACTGTCTTAAGAGATGCACAGGGAACAGGATGTCCAGGGCAGTAGTAAAAGTTGCTGACCTGTGACATTAGTTAAGCATGTGAACTGCAACCACAATGTTGCAGTCACATGCACAGTGAGAAATAAGGCCTGTGTGTTAGCAGCAACAGTTGCAACCATATGCACAACAAAGTAATCACTTAGCTAGGCAGAAACAAGAAGGCAGATACTAGTTAGACCAATAAACAGCAGGTGTCAAAGCCAGTGTTTCTGGGCTAGGCAGCCCAGAGAAACAGTCGCATCTGCATTTCCTGCACTCCCGGCTGCACATTGTACATGTTTTGTAGCTTTTTCTCTGTAACATTGTAACAGTTTCTGTGTACCTCTTTGTTTGAATCTCAATAAATACCCAGTGGATACTGGAGTCAGGGCCACACTTCCCTTCTGTGTCAGCCAGGCATGGTGGGTCACACCTATAGTCTGAGAGGTCAAGGTGGGAGGCTGGCTTCAGCATGGGAGTTCAAGATCAGCCTGAGCAAGAGTGAGACCCTGGCTCTACTAAAAATGAAAAATTAGCTGTCTGTGGTGGTCGGCACCTGTAGTCCCAGCTACTCGGGAGACTGAGGCAGGAGTGTCGTCTGAGCTTAGTGAACTATGATGACACCACTGCACTCAGGCCTGGATGTCAGAGCGAGTCTCAGAAAACAAATGATAAAGAGAATGGCTGAGAGTCCTCTGTGTAGAGGAAAATGGAGAAACCCAATCAATGCACAGCAAAGTTGGAGGCCCAGACACACGGCCCAGTTGGTCCCTCCAGCCAGACCTTAGTTGTTGATGCCCCTCCAGGCACACCATGTGGAAAAGAGGATCTCCGGCCAAGCCTATCCCGATCCTGGACTCGGGAACAAGGAATTCTTGTTGTTTTGGGCAATTTTGTTTTGCCCTTAATACGTCCTCTTTCAATTATATTTCTAGGAAGTTATATTATGAAATGTAGTAGCGAGAGCAAAGGATCATGTTTTTCTTTTTGTATCTCATCATACCTATCACAGGGTCCACCACACATCAGATGATTAAGAATTATTTGCTTAATGATTATCTGGTTTCAATTGTAGGAGGAGTAAAGTTCAAAGTCAAGTTTGCCATTCAGGGCTCCTGATGACCCGTAAGGCCACACCCTTCCTTTCTAGTGTTTTCTTCTGTCTGTTCCCACAACACTTCTCTGTCCCTTCTACTCCCTCACCTTTGCTCAGTCTGGTCAGCTTTGAATCCTTCCCCACCCACCCATGCACATTCACACCCACTCCGCACACGCATTTCACGTGCATGTCTGATCTGGACTCCAAGGCCTAGGTTAAATGCCTGATCCCCCACCCCAGGGAAGACTTCAGATCTCTGAATTCTCAAGACATTCTAGCAGTCTTATGCCACTTAATAATCTGATCGTATCTGCAAGTTTTTCACTTATGTCTTTTCTTCCTGTTAGATTGAAGCTTTTGAAGACAGGACCCTATCTCGTATATTGCTGTCTCTCTCAAGTGATCTCAAAAGTAAGAGATGCCACTTAACCATGTGGCGGTAAGCAAGTCAGCACACCTGGCCTCAGGTTGCTGATTTGTGTAACAAAGATAATTATCTGAGGCATGGAGTTGCTGAGCTCCAAAAATTCCATAAGGTAACATGGAGCCCACGGCACCGTGCTTAGCATATACAAGGTGCTCAATGAGTGAGTGTCGATCAGGGAGAAAGTGAGAGAGCCATCTGAAGCTATTACTCCTATTATGGAGAAGCCCATTTCCACAGATGAGGGCTATTATTTCATTCCTCATAACTGACCTATAGGTTACTTTCATACATATGTATTCAAAGTTTCCCATGTCCCAGATGATGCCTGTTAATTTGAATGCCAACCTAAAGGTAATATTTGGATGTGTCTTTTCAACATTAAATATTGAACAGTTGAAGGAAAGAAAGAAGGAATGTTTAAATGCTACCATGCTCAGCGCTCAAGGTAGAGGTGTCCATAAAACTTGGCCCCTGCTTTTAGGGTGCTCCTGAGAGATGGGTCTTTCTTAAAGGGCGAGGAGAGAGGAGAGGAAGAGGCAGGCAAAGGGAAGGGCTGTGAGTCTGACAGGTGTGGCCAGTTCTGCAAAGCAGTGTGAACAGAAGCTTGTGGAATTCCAGTCAATAGGCGAATTAGTCAGGGGAATGTTTCACACATTATAAAAAACACTAGTGTGTAGAAACAACAGCTGAGTGGGGTAGCTATCAGTGTTCTAAATGAGGCACATACATATTTGTGTTTTTTTTGGATTTTCCAAGTTTCCTTCACTGAGCATGTATTACTTCTATTATCATAAAACACACACAAAAATCCCTTTTTTAAAAATGAAAAAATGGTGTTGTATGAAAGGAGAGAAGGTTAGCACTCCCCTTGACAAGGATGGAAGGGGCCCTGGGCCTGACAACACCCAGAGGTTAAGGCATTGCCACCTACTTCGTGGCATCTAACCATCATTTTTTGGATGCGGAGAGAAGGGGACACTTCTGCACTGCTGGTGGGAATGCAGGCTAATACGTTCCTTTTGGAAAGAAGTTTGGAGAATGCTTAGGGAACTAAAAGTAGACCTGCCGTTTGACCCTGCAATTCCTCTATTAGGTATCTATCAAATGTACCCCAAATCATTTTGCAACAAAGATATTTGCACCAGAATGTTATTGCAGCCCAATTCATAATTGCCAAGTCATGGAAGCAGCCCAAGTGCCCATCAACTCATGAATGGATTAACAAACTGTGGTATATGTACACCATGGAATATTATGCAGATATAAAAAGATGGAGACTTTACTTCTTTTATGTTTACGTGGATGGAGCTGGAATATACTCTTCTTAGTAAAGTGTCTCAAGATTGGAAGAAAAAGTATCCAATGTACTCAGTACTATTTTGAAACCAATATATAAGCACCCACAACTTTCATACGAATGATAAAACATAACTATAGCCCAGAATGAGGGAAGAGGAGAGGGAAGGGTGAAGAGTGGGGAGGCCGGGTGGAGAGAGGGTAATCAGGGGGGACCTCACTATTGTACATAACGCAAGGGTACATGTCAAATCTAGTGAGAGCAGAGTATAAATGTCGTAACACAACAATTAACTAAGAGAGGTGAAGGCTATGTTAACCAGTTTGATGTAAGCATTCCAAATTTTATATAAAATCAGCACATTATACCCCATAAATGCATGAATGTACACAGTTATGATTTAACAACAACAACAACAAAAAAAAAAAAAAAAAAAGAAAAGAAAGAAGCCCGTGCATGTAAGTGATAGTCTTTGGAAAGCGTGGGATGGTTATTGTTCACTCTCAGTGGTATGTGTTTACCTTTGTCCTTTTGTGACATTTTTGTGTTAACCTGTTGATGACAAAGAAGATGGCTTATGGTTATCACTTTACTTATGCTACTGAACTCAGATTATTTCATCTGACCATAGTAGGTATGTATATATGTATGTGTTAAATGTTCTTAGAAAAACCTTGGGCTCTAGATAAACTCAACACATCCAGATTTACTAAGGAGAGATGATTGGATATGCAGACACCTATTATTGGCCAAGTTAAGCATAGACTCCCAAGCCAGACTTTTAAGGTTATTTTACAATAGACACTAACCTATAATTTCCTGTGGCTCTTCCTCAATTCCTACTGCCTGGAACACTCCACACTTCAGTTCCTTGCTTGTATCCGCCATTCCCTGGGATGTTCCAAATGCCCTCTTCAGAGGAGAGCTGAGCAGCTGGGAGGATGAGGCCTGGCTCTGCCTCTTACCCATGAGGCTGTGGGCAAGTCAGCACACCTGGCCTCAGCTTGTGGAAACAGAGATAATTATCCAACTCAGAGTTGCTGAGCTCCAAAGATTCAATAAGGTAACACTGAGCACCTGGCACAGTGCTTGGCGCGTAGAAGGCGCTCAGGAATGTTGGTTACCTTGTTCCTTACTCTCAAAATGCTCCAGATACTATTTCTTCTCTTCTTGAAGCTGCCCAGGTCTTCAGAGAGGTTCAGTCTGGCTTGCCCTATGGGTAATGTGTCACCCTGAGCCTCCACTCCTGGGGCAGCCTCTGTATCCTATTCCTCACCAGTTCTCCAAGAACTTTGAGGCTCGGCTGTCATGGGTGTCTATAAAGATCAGTTGAATTTGTTGCATCGCAAAAGCTGATGCCTTGGCCAGGCATGAATCTGTCACCTGATAGGTTTTAGAATTTCAGTAAAAGAATCATAACTGAATAAGAATAACAGGTGGTTCTTTCCCTCTGGGCCCTCCCTGGGGCGTTGTGAGTGCTCAGATCAGGAGTAATGCCTTTTTATGCCCTCAGATGATTTCAATAGACTGTGTTCATTCCACCCTAATATTCCCAGCAACTCTGTTAGTAATTCTGTATAGTATCTTTCAGGCAATCTTTTGTTAAGAATTAATGCTCTGGCTCAGCGCCTGTGGCTCAAATGGCTAAGGCACCAGCCACATACACCTAAGGTGGCAGGTTCGAATCCAGCCCGGGTCCGCCAAATAATATGACAGCTGCAACCAAAAAAAAAAAAAATCCGGGTGTTGTGGCGGGTGCCTGTGGTCCCAGTTACTTGGGAGGTGGAGGCAGGAGACTCGCTTGAGCCCAGGAGTTGGAGGTTGCTGTGAGCTGTGATGCCACAGCACTCTACCCAGGGGGATGGCTTGAGGCTCTGTCTCAAAAAAAAAGAACTAATGCTCCACTTCTGTTTCTGGGTGTGACTATTTTAATAATATTCCTTTCAAGCTAATGAATTTCCAGCTTGCCAGTGTTGACCAGGTAATGGCCCAAATGTCTCCTCACAAGAAGAAAATGTTTTTCAGACATGTAGATCAGAGAGTTGACATGTCCTACCCTAAGCCACACTGCTAGAGGCACATGTCTCTGCCACGGTGAAATGTGATGGCCCCAAAGCTTACCCAACGGCAGCAGCAGACATGACCACCTGCCAGGCAAGGGCACGGCTCAGTTCTCAAAAGAGATGTCTGCATGCTGGAAGGACTCTGGATTTGGATCAGAAGACCTGGCTTTACACTCTGACTTTACCACTTACAAGGTGGTTGTCTCGAGCAAGTCACATAATCATTTAGAGCCTCAGTTTCTTCATCCAAAAAATGGGGGTAAAACCTACCACATAAGATACTCTGATGATCAAGTGATATAGTCTGTGGAAACTGTGAGATATTACCCCAAATTCAGTATTTTTATTTACCTGACCAGGAAAGGATGGAAAGAATGGAATAGAATTTTAACACAGATCCAATTGAAAAGCAACAAATCAGCTCGGTGCCTGTAGCTCAGTGGCTAGGGCACCAGCCACAAACACCAGAGCTGGCTGATTTGAATCCAGCCGGGACCTGCCAAACAACTGCAACCAAAAAATAGCTGGATGTTGTGGTGGGCACCTGTAAGTCCCAGCTACTTGGGAGGCTGAGGCAAGAGAATTGCTTAAGCCCAAGAGTTGTAGGTTTCTGTGAGCTGTGATGCCATAGCATTCCACTGAGGGTGACAAAGGGAGACTCTGTCTCTAAAAAAAAGAAAAAGAACTGCTGATTCTTTGCTGGAACCATCATTCAAAAGGGTTTCTAAAAGATTCTGCTTATGTGGCTGGCCTGGCATGACTGAACATCTCTGCTTCAGCTGCTATGGAATGTTCCTAGAGAGGGGTGTTCCAGGTACACTTCTGGCCAGCAGTGACGTCTGTCAGGGCAGCTGTGGCTGTGTTGGGGGCATGTGTGAGGCCCTCCTCATGCCTCTGCACAGCCTGTGACATCCCTTCTCAGTGCCTCCTTCTTTTTTTTTTTTTTTTTTTTGAGAGGGAGCCTCAAGCTATCCCCCTGGGTAGAGTGCCATGGCATCACAGCTCACAGCAACCTCCAACTCCTGG